CGCATTTATGGCTTAGGGGCCGTGGTTTACCTCCCTCCGTTTAGTCATGCTGGATCAGGGGTAGTAAACTCGGCGATCGTGGGTTCAATTCCCACACGGGGCAAGTTTTTTTTTTATAAATTCTTTTATTCATTTTTATTTTTTTAAGGTCGTGGGTTCGATTCCCACACGAGCCAGTTGTTTATTGAGCAGATTAATCACACTGATAAACAATTGTACTACATTCGGCTGATGCATATGAACTTTTATCTAGAGACATAATTTCATTATTTTCTTCCCAAAAATCCTAATAAACGTTAACTAGCACCTCAAATCCACTTTTGAATGGTGAAAATCGGCTCAGTATAAGACATTTTACCGAGTACAAGTTTTAAGTTAATAGAACATACTGCTGTTACATCTTCTAGTTTTTCCCCCACCGTTGTATTTAGGTACACGCTACAGTACACACAATGAGCCTACGACTTTGCATAGCAGAGGTCAGCACGAGTGATTCAGCGCACATCTCTATATGTCTGCGTTAACGCATGAATGGTTTCATGGACCTTCTCAAGACTTTTTCCTAACCCGCATCTTTATATCTAATTTTGCTGAGAGTTCCGCTTGAACAATTTCGCGGCCATTTTGGTATCTGAGCATGACATGCTTCCATTGCAGGATTTATAATGTGTTGAGAAGCATAAGAGAAGCCGGCAGCTGACTCTCCGGAGTTTTAGAAGATATTTTATTTTTTATTTTTATTGTTATATTATTTTGCTTTTTAAGCTGCTGGCACCTAGCTATTGTAGTCTTGATTGATTTTTATTGCCTTTTTTTTTTATCTTAAAACAAATGAATGATTGTTAGATATGATAATTTATATGAAAGATTGTTGGTGGTGTTGGTGCTGTTCTTTATATTTGAAAACGGAGACCTGCATACGAAAATTGAAAATTCCAAACAGAACCATTCATATTTTACGCAAAGTGGAAAAAAAGGCCAAAGCAATGCTCTAATCGAAGTTTTATAGCCTATTTTTGTCTATCTCTTGGACATCAGACGATATATACATACATATATATATGAGACGGTATATATACATATATACATATATGCATATATATATACATATATATATATATATATATTAACATTTTTAATTCCTATATTTCATTCCCATAGTACTACCATGTAGCAATAAAAAATAATTCCCTGTAGATTTTTCATGTTTTTAATATAAAGTGACTATAATTAAAGGATGAATTGTAACGTCGGTTACCAAGGAATTCCCCAAATGATTATAAAGCATATGATATGATTAGAAAAAAAATATTGTAGGAACGAGTACCCATAATTGACTGACTAATAAATCACAATTGTTACAATATTTTCATGTATTAAAAGAGAACTAGCAAAATGATTTTTTTGTTCTAGAGAGGATTTTTGATATGCCATTAATAATAGAATCAATCTTAAAATCGTTTTTTGGCTTTTTTAAAAATTAAGTATAAGCGATTATATACGATTTTACCATGACATCACTGGCGAAAAAGTAACAAAGATCTTGTACATAGCGCCGCGTAGGGTATTCGCCGCGTACGATCTTTGCGTGTATGCTGTAACCATGGCTGTAAATTGTGATTGTTACAGCATGCACTCAGAGATCGTACGAGGTGGATACCCTTGTTACATTTTCTTCTTGTGTTATATATCGTTTTTTCTCTACTGCTTGTTTGACACTGCCCAGCACCTATTTAGGTGGAGATGTTTGCGCTTTACAAATCTTTATTATAAATTATTATTATTATTATTATTATTATTATTATTATTATTATTATTATTATTATTATTATTATTATTATTAATAGGTATATTATATTATTATAAAGCCTATTATTATTATTGTTATTATTATTAATATTAATAGGCATATTATATTATTATAAGGCCTATTATTATTATTATTATTATTATTATTATTAACAACACGATATTCAAACTTAAAACAATGATTAATTTAGTATTTTTTTGCAAGTACACGACTTTTAAAATCAATCAAGAGATTTTTGCTTTTCTCCCCTTTTTAACTTTCATTTTTGTATTAGTAATATTGCGACTACACTATTGTGAGTGGAAATAATATCAGTCTATTGTCAAATAAAGTGAAATCACCCTGACCTGACAAAATAACGTAAAATTATCAGCCATACATATTGACAAATCAAAAAAGCTCCAAAAATACGAAATAGTTTTCCTTGCAGCATTATCGTTCAAGAGCGAGAATAGCCTAGCAAAAGTGTTCCACGCTGACATTAGCTGTTTTTAGGTAATTTTTTGTGTTTCCACAGTCGTACCGGTATCTGGCAAATACTTGACGGATTTTGTATTCCCTTCTGCATTTGGAAGGCAATTCTTTTCTGATTGCTTTAGTATTTGTTTCAATTGTATTGCTTGAAAAAGGTCACCGTCATTTTCACTTTTCTATTGGTGCTATGCTGACCGCCCACCGCGCGTAGACGCTGCATTTTGACCTCTTTTTAGTGACTTCGTTTAAATTGCCATTTCGGATGTTCACTAATCAAATATCTTGTTGTTCATCCCCCCCCCCCAGTAAACGGAAAGCTTAATATTCATAGATTCTTCTCATATAAATTATATAAATTGCAATTGGATGAAAAAAAATTCACCATCAAAACACTAATTTCAATATGAAATCCTGTCTAGGCATTATGCCCGCAAAAATGCGAAGCTTTGGTATAGGCTTCCGCCATTGTCAGAGGTCTGGAGGCCCTGGCCTTAAAAAAAATAATTAAAAAATTGGTTTGTGTGGGAATCGAACACACAACCTCCGGGTTGCGATTTTTTTTTCCGTACGAAACATTTACATGAAACTCCACTCGGGCCGTCTCGGCTGAATCGACCCGAAAATCTCATTGCAGAATTCAGGAGGTCAAAAGGTCAACAAATAAACGTCTACAGAACAACTTCTGAGAGAACTCTTATACACATCT